GTGATTTTTATATCAGTGAAATACAAGGTGTTTTAAAATCAACTCCATGTGTTCCTATATCCCCTTTCAATTATGATTAGTTACACTTACAAATAATTATGGAACATCAATATGTTGCAGTTTTAGGTCATTAACCACGAAAATTTAATTCCAAATACCACCAGCATTACTGTTTCCAATCATCATCTTTTACCAAACTAAACCTTTTTTAATTAAATACTAAATACTGAACACATCATGTTCTCTGTATAGAAAAATGACAATAATAAATAGAAAAAGCTTCTTGCTAACCTTGTTAAATAGGTTATTTGTTTAAAGCATGTATTAGGATTAATTTAAGCTCCAAGAAACTGTAGTGACAGACATTAATATAAAATACAATAAGGAAATATTTAACACCATTAACAGGATGTGATCCAAATTATACCCTTCCAAATGATCAATTAACATACATTTGTCATTTAATATGCCTAAAAAGCTTCAGTAAGATTGTTTACCCAAAATGACTATGGGAAAAACAAATTAAATGATATCATCCATTTTCAAATTTAGCTTTTGCACTTTTTTTTCATGCAGAGAGTTTTACAAGCACCGGAACATTGCAACATGCAATTTCAAGTATGCAAATCCTATTTTAAGGATTTATAAAACAATCTACCATTTTTAGTTTTGATTTAATATTTTCATAATCTTTTAACATATACCACAGACATGACAATGTGACAGATTGACAGAATTTGACAAAGCTGACAAATGACAAAATCTAGTACTTGTCACAAAAAAGTTAATAGAAGAGCTGTCTATGGGGATTTTTGTAATGGAGATTAAAAAAAATTATTGGAGGTTCAGAAGGCTATCTTGAAACCTATTTCCTTGTTGCTTAATTGTACTTTTAAGTACAAATGACTCAACTAAAATGGAAAAAATAAAACTAGAAGAGTGGTAGGCAAATACCAGGTGAAGGTTTGGGACAGGGAAAAGGAGATGTAGCTGGGAAGGAATCATGTTGGCCTGGAATCATGCTAACCTCCCTTACCTTCCCTCCTTCAGATAACTGATTTACTTCCTGTTCTTACTAATGGAACTATGAAAAATGCCTGCTGCCAGCTGCCTTATTTAATATTTCAATGATATTAATTTTGACCCTTTGTCAATAAAGCAAAATAGGACTCCATAAGACAAAACTTTAACATAACAAAATGACACATGAATTAGTTTCATAATGCTGATAAACTTTACTGACCATATAAATAAAGTTCATCAGTGATATTAGGATACATACAATATATATTAGTATATATTTTTCTTAAAAGAGAAAAAGCTAAGTGAATAGGCAGACATTTCTTTCTCAAACTAGGAGAAAGACAAGAGAAACAACAAAGGTTTACATTTTTGCTGTCCATCTCTATAAATTACATTCAGAACTTTGTTTCTCCACGGATGTAGAATCTGTAATTTCATACAGAAATCATTCCTAGTTTACAGTGCTTACTTTAAGATATCTGAGAGTTCTCAGCCAATCAAATTATAATAATTGGCTGGATAGCTAATTGCTTTCTTTTTAGTTAACAGTTACTAATTATCTACATATGTAAATATATAATTAGGTTACATATGGAAAAATGTGCTACAAATACACACACATTCTAATCACAAAACTACTGAACCTCAGATTTGAGAAAGAGCCTAGAAGTCTTCTTAGATCAATTCCTCTCTAAAACATCTGACAAGCAGTTATCCAGCTTTTCCTTAAACACTGGAAATCACCATCAGATATAGAGGCAGCTGGGTGGTCTAGCTGATAGTGCTGGAATTGGAGTCAGGCAACCTGACGTTCAAATCCTGCCTCAAATACTTACTAGTTGTATGACCCTGGGCCAATCACTTAACCTCTCTCAGTCTTTCAGTTTCCTAATCTGTAAAATGGAGATAATAATATCAACTACCCCATAGGGTTGTTTTGGGGATCAAATGAGATATGTAAAGTACAATATAAATGCTATTATAATGAATATTACTTATATTAACATTCATAATAATTTATTATCAGCATCGATCCAATTTTTTTGACGTCTCATTGTTGTAAAGATTTTCCTTATATCAAATCTACCTCTCTAGTCCTAGTTTTGTCCTCTAGGACTATACAGAATAACTATCTTTTCCATACAACAGATCTTCAAATATTTAGGACTATCATGTCCTGCTTTCCCACTGTTCAGGTTTCACTTTTCCGGGTTAATGAAACAAATATTTCTAATTTTTTAAAAACCATTCCTCATGACATGGTTTTGAGTCCCATCACCAGTCTGGTTGTCCTCTAGGTATGTGTCATACAGGACTAAACATAGAACTCTACATTTGGCCAGATCAGTTCAAACTACAAGTAGGACAATCATTTCTATGTTGAGTACAAAGTACTTTAATTAATTAATTGATTGATTAATTCTACTCAAGTAAAATCTTCAAATCTTTTCCACATAAAATTCTATCTAATTATGTTTTCTTTCTTCATAAACCTTGTGTTAATGCCACTGATATCCAAAACCTGCATATAGAACTTTATAACTCTTAAATGCCATTTTATTGATATGGGCATACAAATGTAATTCTTTTACTTATACATGGATAACGAGAACCTTTTATTCCCCTCTTTATACCAAAATAAAAAACCTACAAGCTATGGACAAAGACAACTCCTCACCATTATTTCCTCCTAATAGTATCCCCTCCATGCTATAGAGGGGAATGCTTAGACAGTCACTGAGGACTACCTGTGGCTGCTGTAGAAAGGAAAGCCAGACTCACTGTGAAGCAACTCAAATATTCCTTTTCAAAAGTAATGCCCAAGCCAGAGAAAATAGAAAGAGCTCTTTAAGCATCAAATTTTTAATAAAACACAATGTACTATTTTTATAGGCATGAATTTTTTTAAAAAATAGCTTGTTAGGAATATAATTTGTCAGCTTAAGCAAAAAGAAAGGAAAGCAAACAAATCAAAGTCACAGGGGTCAAAAACTGTTTTAAATGGAGGAGGGAGATTATTATTAGGGAAATACTTTTTTACCCAAACTCTCCCCTAAAATGGACAGCCTGGTTTATTTTTATTATGCTTCTTGCTTTCTTAACTGTAGAGACAGCTGTGATTGTTCTAGCTCTGATGAATAATTTCTCTCTTTCTCTGAAAATACTGGAGAAAATGTTTCATTTTCCATCTTATTTGTCATGTGACATGGAACTCCTAATTTTTGTAAAAAACTAAGCCATTTGAACAATCTTGACAAAAAATATTTTATATAAGAACAGTGGAACCCAAGGGATACCGGCTTATGAGTTCTGAAGGACCTATGAATCTCTCTCTCTCTCTCTCTTTTTTTTTAACCAAACTTCATTTCTTAATCAAATAAAAGGGATAGGATCACCAAACACAACTTAATAGGAAAAAAGTAACAAAAGGAAAAATTATGGCTAATGAATTCATTGGAGCTCTTTGAGGTAATCAGTAGGTAAGTAGATATCTACCTAGATCTTAAAAATGCCTCTCTGAAAGGGTTCTACAACATAGGCTGTGGTAAAAATGGAGCTACTGTTGGATATGGCAATATAAAGGACAGAGTTATTAATGGATCAGTACTGGGGCCCATTTGATTTAGCATTTTTCTAAGTGATCTGAAAAATTTACAGACAATCCTAAATTTTTACATACAGTGAAGAGCTAAACCCTTTACTATAAGCCCTTGGTTTCTATAAAGCTAGGATTACATAGTTTGCATTATTTGGTCATCATTATAAAGGTAACTTAAACTAAAAAAAAAAACGAAACAAACCAATATATTGATTGGAACAGGCATACCCTAAGGAAACATGGTTAAAAGAAAATCCTCTTTTCTGGAGACTTTTAATAGAAGGAAAACATAAACTTAGGGAAAATGTTTTATTAGGATTCTAGTTTTATAGCAACAATAATCAACAGAACCTTTCAAAAGGAGATGTTATTTCAGCTTGCAGTTTAATAAATGGAAGAATTGTACTCTTACCACAGTTTCCATTCTTTACATTCCTCCCAATCAATTCCTTCAGTTATCTGAACTGGAGCTTCAGGCCAGAAGGCAGCTCTAAGGCTTAGAGCACTGCCTCCATAGTGACACAAGTTCCTTTGGGCATTAAGGACTGATCGCTAAAGAATTCTTAGTGAGGGCAACATATCAATAAAGAAGGTGCCAACAGATGTGCCTGGTGGTGCAGGGGATAGGACACTCAGCCTGGAGTCAGGAAGACCTGAGTATAAATCTGGCCTCAGACACTAGCTGTGTGATCCTGGGCAAGTCACTTAACCTCCATCTGCCTTGGGTTTTCTCAACCGTAAAATGCAAATAATGCTGTGAGAGTTAAATGAGATTACATCTATAAAAGGCACTTAGCATAGTGCCCTGAACATAGACGACACTATTTAAATGTTTATTCCTTTTCCTACTATTCCCCCAAATACTCACTAACAATTTGTACTATTACCTCTTTCTTCCTAAGCACCACCCTCTCTTCCCTGGATATTTTTACCAAGCATTTCTCAGAAATAAGAGTACATTGGGGGCAGCTAGGTGGCACAGTGGATAGAGCACTAGCCCTGGAGTCAGGAGGACCTGAGTTCAAATCTGGCTTCAGACACATAACACTCACTAGCTGTGTGACTCTGGGCAAGTCATTTAACCCCAATTGTCTCACAAAAAAAAAAGAAAAAGAAATGAGAGCACATGATAAGGAATTCCATGCAAATTGGAGCAATTCTGCACTTCATATAGAGGAAATGGAATGGGTTACCAAAAAAGATACAAAAAGTGCAGAAAAATGAAATCATAATAAATGTAATACATTCCATTTTACTGTAACTTGAATTGTTTTGTTCTCTCTCTTTGTTTTTTCCTTTTCCTCTCTCCCTCCTCTACCCCTCCCATACACACACACACACACACACACACACACACACACAGAATTCTTTAACTTACCTCTTCTCCACTGAGATAGTAAGCTGAGAGAAGTCCACCAACAAAACGTATATTCACTTCAAAAACTGAAATTTCAGCATTCTAAAGGGAAAAATACATGAGTTTAGACAAAGAAAAATACATAGCTTTGCTATTTGCTTTCTTCTGGCATAATAGCTACCAATTTTTTATATATGAGATAATATAAAAATAATTTACAAGTCTATTGCTCTGAAGGTGAAAAAAATCTACTTAAGTGAATCAAAATACAATATTTTTAAAAGCCCCAAATCATTCTTTCTAATAGCAAGCTATCTTATGAAATACATCTGTTGATTATATTTCTCTGTTAAGAAGATCTAATAGGGCCAGCAATTTCAAATTCAGAAGCCTGAGGCTTTAGCTCCAGGATTAGAATTATTCCAATATTCTATTCATATCTAATTAAGCAACTTTTCTCTACCATCTTTTATCCATTCAACAGTCTGCTTACACTATTACGCATGCCTACTAATTCTAATGGAAGTTTAAACTTTTCACTAAAAAAAAAAAAGTTAGTTAACTTTTCTTAATACCCACTAACCTTAACTTACAAGCATAAGCTTTCCCCCCCTGCTATTATATGCCACTTATTCACTTTGTTTATACTGATAGGCAGATTTACATATAAGAAAACTTATGGGTGGATGTCAAGTTCATTGAGATTAGCAACATGTTCCCAGAAAAAAAAAATGGATATAATATTTAAATATATTCAACAACTAAATAATTATAAAAAGAAATTTCTAAATTTATGTACAGGAGAGAGATCCATCAGGTCAGAGTTTAGCAAAAGAATTATGAAATGAGGCTCTTAGTAAACTTTGTTTAATGGTGTTTTATCATCTGCAACAAAGACCACTTAGAATCTGATTAAGAGCATAATATATAAGAGCAATTTTTCTTTAAGGTACATCACTTGGGTTAAGAACACATATGAATAGTGTGTGAAAGCTTTTATTATGAAACTCTTATGTAGAAAAAGAAGCCGAAATGAATTTGTATTTGTTCTTCTAAATACATGATTTTAATTAACATTTTAAATTATTTTAGTAGAATACATTTAGCATTCCTGTATATAATGTGAGGGCACATCATTGAATAATGATGCTTAGAGAACTGCCCAAATTTGTAACTCATTTTGATGTCCCCAGTACAAATTAGCCTAGCACAAAGTAGGCTCAACACTGAATTTCTGAATATATACTATAAAAATCTGCACCAAAACTACAAAATTTAAAATTTGGTTTGTCTCTCCTTTTAAAAATCCAAAAGTTGGAACAATACATAATGATCCTATTACACATACAGATGCTATGAAGGTATGCGATTGATTTCCTATCTAGAAATGGGAATTTTTTTCCCTCCAGATCAGGAAAGAAAAATAAAAGACCCCCTTTTCTTCTGATGAAATTAAAATTTCTCTGTCTGATTTCAGGTTGGAGAATCTGTTTTCTCCTGACTTTACAAATGAAGGAAAAGATGGCCTTTCCTAAAATCACTTGGTTTATATGCCAGTGGCAGACCCTGAAATCTCAACTAGAAGCAAGTAACCAGCTCTTTAAAGTGAATAAGGGCCTATTAGATAAATTAAAGAACTAAGTACAGCCCTGAAAAAGGAAACTCCAACTTCTAGAAGAAAAAAAAAATTTTTTTACTTCTTTTTAAAGCAAGATTCAAGAGGGAGTGTTCTAGTTACTTTGCCTTTCTTCCTTGGTCCTCCTGGGCAAATGAAAAAGGGAAAAGTTATGGGGACTGATGAAATCTATGGAGTCATAAAATATTTTTTAGAGAAAAAGGCCCTTGAAATCCAGATTCAGATCTGGATGCAACCTGAGAGATTATGAATAACTCAGAATAATATTCTAGAATATTCCAGCAGCACAATAGTGGGAAGACAGTTGAATTTGGTGTTAGAGGACCGGGGTTTTAATTTCACATCTGTCACTTACCTACCTCTGAGATCTTTGGCTTCACTTCATCTCTTTCTACCTGAGTTTCCTTGTTTAGAAAATGAAAAGGGTGTAGGGGTTGGATAAGATAACATCTAAGTTACCTGCCAGCTCTGATCTTATTATGATCCACCTTCTGCGTTTTATAGATGAAAAAACTAAGACAATTAAAATGATTTGTCTAAAGTCATACACCTAGTAAGTGGAATATAATATAGGTGTCTCCAATCTGACATATAGATAAAAAATTTGGAGACAGGAGAGTTGGGCTCATTCCACTATACTGCCCTAAGAATTGTTCTTTGTTGCCATTGTTGTTTATTGTTGTTCCAAACTTGTGATTTCCTTACTTTCTTTGGTAGATTCCTAGAGTGGAAATTCCCTCCACTGGTTTAGGTCAGCAAGTATAATTACAATTTTAGAGAGCTGTCTGAGAGGAGAGTAACTTGCCACTGTTGGCTAGATATTATGAGTCAGAGGCAGATCATGAACTCAGGTTTCCCTCATTCCAAAGGTTGGCCCACAATTCACTATGACACTGTGCCTCTCAAGAACAAATTAAGCTAATTAATTAAAAATAATGAAACTTTATTAATAAAAATAAGAAAAATATCAAACAAAACCTTAATAAGGATAATGTAAAACTTCTCATTCAGCATCTAAATTAGCAAAAGAATAAAGTTACTTAATAAAAATTTATAAACTCGAGTTTTAACTGACTGGGTAGCATACAAAATCCTAAAGGGAAGCAACATAGAATTCTTGGTATCATAATGAAATATATAGCCTTAGTTTAATACTGAGTTTTTTCCCCTGAATATTCATTTTAGAAATAATGTATATTTAGTATAGTATATTATTAGCATAACAATTCACAATTACAAGATGCTTTTTAAATCACTTTATCACAGATGATGAAATAAGCCCTAAAAGGTTAAATAACTTACCCAAAGTCACAACAGTAAGTCTTAGACTCAGGACTTCTGATTCCAAACTCAGTGGTCTTTCTCTTATTCTATGGAATGTTAGTAAACATCTAAATGTTTCAAGAAAATGCAGTGATTTGTCCCAGTGAAATAAAGCAAGTAATTTGACACAGTTGTGCTAATTCCTTGAAACAATTGTGCAAACCTTTATACTTATTTAAACTGTCTGATTATCAGAATACTTCAAATCATATGATCTGTTATTTTATTAGTACAGGTTATGATACAAATCAGAACCTGAATATTCAGTAGGAAATCATAACAACTTTCCACTATATAGGAAAGAATATAGGTTTGGAGTCAGGAGACTTGGGTTCTGGTCATGTCACTAGTTGTATGACCATGGGCCAGTCACTTGACTTTTCCGAGCCTCAGCTTCTTCATCTGTAGAATGAGTTGTTTTTTTTAAACTTCTTATATTACTTAATTCACAGGACTGCTGTAGAAAGAATACTTTGTAAGCTTTAAAGTACAATAAAAATATAACCTGTAATTGTGATTTGCTGGGGCTAAAGTAAATAATCACCAAATGATCACTCTTTTGGCGATGAGCCTGTCTGTATTAGTTATGCTGGTCCAACATATAATTGGCTGGTTGGGAGAACTGTTTTCAGAGCCTTTTAGTTGGGCAGGACATGCCATAGCTGGCACTCCACGAACATAGCTTTTGAATATCCCTTGATGCTCCTATGAGTCAAAATAATCTTTTATTGCCCTCACAAATCTAATATAACAACCAAAACATTTTGTAGGATGCACAAAATTACAAACATGGCCATCAATTGCTTGGAGATTTTACTAAATTGAAAACTTTTTTTGATAGGCAATAGCATAAACAAGTAATTTTAGGAATGAAATCTTTCTTTTCTCCATACTGTAGCAATTTTATCTAAACATCTATTTTCTGCTCAACCATGTAATTTTTAGTTATCCTTTATATAGAAATAACTAAATCACTAAGAGTTATGATGCCTTTAAATAACAACAGATCCTCTGTATTTCTCCATGTTGCTACAATAGTGTGCCAGATCAATATCATTTTGAATAATTATTTCAAGCTCCATAAAGAAAGATTTGTATTCATGTTTCTTTACTTCACTAAATCTGTGACTTAACTGATATGAGTACTCATTCCACCAATGGATATAGCCATCCATCCACAGCTTTCATATCCTGCCTAATTCTTGCCCTTGTTTCCCCCCAGATAGTCCCCAGAGGATCTAGCCAAAGTACTGTATTTCACTCTGGGGAAAGCAATGTAGCAATCAGGTTGTGTATCTATAATCTCACAATCTCTTCTAATCATGTGTCCTCATTTCCTTTACACTACCCAAATCAGTCAATATTTATTAAGCACCTACTATGTGCCTGGCACCTTATTAAATGTTGAGGTTACAAAAAGAGGCAAAAGACAATCCCTGTACTCAATGAACACACAATCTAATGGGAGAGACAACAAACACACAAATATATACAAACAGGCTTCATAACAGGATAATTAGGAAATAATTAACAGAAGGAAGGGATTAGAAAGGCTTCCAGTAAGAGACAGGTTTTTAGTTGAGACTTAAAGGAAGCCAGGGAAGCTAGTAGGCATAGATGAGGAGGGATGGGGGACAGTCAAAGAAAATGCCCAGAGCTGAGAACATGGAATATTTTGTCTGTGGAAAAGCAAGGAGGTGATTTGTTAGTAGATTGTAGAGTACATGGTGGGGCAGTAAGTTGTAAGAAGACTGGAAAGGTGGGAAGGTCCTACATTATGAAGGGCTTTGAATGCCAAGCAGAGGACTTTGTATTTGATCCTGGAGGTGATAGAGAGCCACTAGCATTTACCGAGTAGGGAATCATGATTGGACCTGTGGCTTTAGGAAAACCACTTTAGTAGCTTAATGGAATGGGGGATAGACTTGAGGGAGGTAGAACTACTTTGCCTAGGACATATTAAATGCCTGTTGATTGACTGACTGCTTTCAGATTTGCAAAAATATAAGACCACCGGTAGCATATTTTTTTTTAAAGGATGGATTTTTGTGTTGGAGAAGAGCTTGTGATTGGTAAAAAGCACTGTGCAGTTTAAATGCAACCTAGCTTTCTTTCTTCTTGCTATAATTTGTTCATGTGCAAT